GAAACCAACAGAAACCCAAATGGTTGAAGTACTTACCCACGACCTAGATGAAAAATATGATTTCATTTCTAGGTTTATTTTAAAAATATAAAATTTTATTCTATTAATAATTATTGTGTATAGATTTATTAGTGGAATTTAATAATGATAAACAAAAGTATTTTTTAAATTTCTAAATTTGTATTATTTATTTATGACATCATTAAATTATCCATTTGACCCAAATGGTTGAACTACTTACCCACCACCTAGATGAAAAATATGATTTCATTTTTATGTTTATTTTAAAAATATATAATTTCCTTCTATTAACAATTATTGTGTATGGATTTATTAGTGGAATTTAAGGATGATAAACAAAAGTATAAATGTTGGATTCAAATGTCTTGATACCCTATGACCAATATCCACCCTATGACCACTCGGTCAAAGAGGTATTTTCAAACCTAAAATCTACCTTGCACCTAAATACCCTACTATTAAACCCATATCTGAATCCTCCACTATTAAGCAAGTTCTCTTGGACAAGAATTGGTATAATGCCATGAAAGATGGATTTGAAGCACTCACTTGTAACAGTACTTGGGTCCTTGTACCCCATCCAACTAATCAAAATGTCATTGGATCTAAGTGGGGTTTTCGCCTTAAGCATGGTCAAAATGGTAGTACATTACATTATAATGCCCACCTCATGGCCAAGAGATTCTCCCAAAAAGAGGGTGTGGACTTTCACAAGACATAAAGATATTTAACCCAGTTGTCAAACCTGTCACCATCAGGTTATAACTTTCTATTGTCATATCTAAAAATTGGCCAATTCATCAAATTGATGTTCAAAATGCATTCTTTAATGGGGATTTGGAAGAAACAATTTTTATGAAACAATCGTTGGGTTTCAAAGAAGTTACTCATCCTAATTATGTTTGTCTCTTAAAGCACTCTCTTTATTGATTAAAACAACCTTCTCATGCTTGGTACATCAAACTTGCCAAATTCTTGCAAAACTATGGCTTCAATTACTCCGAAGTGGATCATTCCCTCTTTTACAAGCATGATCAACATGGGTCTCTCTTCATTCTCATTTATATGGATGATATACTCATTACCGGTAGTGACTCCTCCATGATTTCATCTCCTATTGCTCCTTGAGCTCTACATTTGCAGTTAAAGATCTTGGAGATATTCATTATTTTTTGGGTGTTGAAGCAACACGACTCTCGTCTGGTTTTTTCCTCTCACAGCACAACTATAGTATTGATCTTTTAACTTCCACTGGTTTGATTGATGCCAAACTAGCTCACACTCCCTTCTCTTCAGGCTATTCTCATACTACAGAACATTTCTTTGATGTTACCATATATAGGAGGTGCATTACAATACTTATCACTTACTCGCTCTGCCATATCCTTCTTTGTTAATAAGGCATGTCAATTTATGCATGCACCATCCACAAGTCATTGGGTGGCTATCAAATGTATTTTATGTTATTTGAAAGCAACCATGCATTATGGATTATGTATCACATTGTCTTCAATGGATTTCCTTTTCTCATTCTCTGATGTTGATTGGGCGAGTGATCATGTGGACAAAAAATCTCAAAATGGGTTTTGCACTTTCCTTGGCAGCAACCTGGTCTCTTGGTCTTCCAAGAAGCAAAAGACCACTAAGAGTGAATACCGCAGCCTTGCATCCACAGTAGCTAAGACACTATGGATTCAATCTTTACTCCATGAGGTTGGCTTTCCCCTTTGATTGCATCCTACCTTTGCGACAAAATTAGTGCTACTTTTCTTGTAGCAAATCCAGTTCTTCATTCTTAGTCAAAGCATATTGAAATTGGCATCCACTTTGTCTGAGATTTTGTTGCCAAGAAGAAACTTCAAGTTCATCACATCAACTCTGCAAAGCAATTGGCCGATGGTTTCGCTAAAGGGCTTACTGAAAAACCAGTGCTTCTCTGGTTTCTACTTTCATAATCTTATTTACTCAGAATGCCGAAATATATACAGTCGAGATCCTATGTTTACAAGGATAAGAGGTATCGGAGACTCCTGATTCAATTACAACAGAGACTCCAAATTCAATTACTAATTGTAATCCTAACACCCCCCTCAAGTTGGAGAATGCAGATTGTGAATGCCCAACTTGCGGAGAAAGTACTCAAATTCTTTGCGACCCAGTGCCTTTGTAAAAATGTCAGCCAGCTGAACGGTAGTCGACACATAAGCAGGACGTATGCAGCCATTTTGAATCTCATCCCGTACAAAATGGCAATCAACTTCAATATGTTTTGTACGCTCATTAAACACTGGGTTTGCGGCAATATGCAAGGCTGCCTGACTGTCACAATATAAACGCATTGGGTTTGAATGCGTAACTCCAAGAGCCAATAACAATCCCTTCAACCATTTCAATTCACATGTGGCCGTGGCCATAGACTGATACTCTATTTCCGCTAAAGAACGAGCCACAGTGTGTTATTTCTTAGTTTTCCAAGAAATTGGTGATTTTCCAAGCATAACAAACCACCCAGACAGAGAACGTCGGGACAAAGGGCAGCTCACCCAGTCTGAATCACACCATGCATATAACTGCAAGTCACAATCTGAACGCAAGAGAATTCCTTGACCAGGATTTCCTTTCAAGTAGTGCACCACTCGCAATGCAGCCTCCCAATGTCTTTCTTGCGGTTGTTGCATGAATTGGGACAGAACATGCACACAATAAGACAACTCTGGACGCGTTGCTGAGAGATAAATAAGCCTCCCCACCAAGCGTCTATATTGCTCAGGATTAGACAAGAGGGCCCCGTCTGTCAAGGCGAGATTGTGATTCTGCTCTAGAGGAAAAGGAGCAGGTTTTCCACCAAGTAAACCAACTTCAGAGATAATATCCAAAGCATACTTTCGTTGTGACAGAAAAATTCATGTTGAGTTTCAGGCAACTTCAATGCCCAAAAAATATTTCAATGATCCCAAGTCCTTCATATGGAAACAGTCACTCAAATATTTCTTGAAGACTTGAATTGTCATACGATCATTACCTAACACAATAATATCGTCCACATATACGAGAACAAGCACATGCACCCTGTCCTGACGAAAGGTGAAAAGGGAGTACTCTGAACATGACTGCTGAAACCCATATGTCTTCAAAGCTGCAGTTAATTTAGCAAACTAACATCTCGGCGCTTGTTTCATGTCGTACAGAAATTTTTGCAACCGACACACCATACCTGGTTTATCTGACTGAAAACCCGGAGGCATTCGCATGTAGACTTCCTCATGTAGATCACCATGCAAGAATGCGTTATGTACGTCCATTTGATGAATCTCCCAATTTCTAGCTGTTGCGACTGCAAGAAAGGTACGGACAGTAACCATTTTTGCAACTAGGGCAAAAGTTTCATTATAATCAATTCCCTCAATTTGCTTGTTCCCAAAAACCACAAGACGAGCTTTATATCTTTCCACTGTCCCATCAGTGTTATACTTGATTCGATAAACCCATTTGCATCCTATGGCTCGTTTTTCGGATGGCAAAGGCTCCACAGTCCATGTCTGATTATTTTCAAGTGCCTGTATTTCTTTTTGCATAGCATCCCTCCATTTTTCATCCTTTACGGTTTCAGCAAAAGAAGTGGGTTCAACTCCTACAGTGATAACTGCCAAGAAAGCACGATGTCAACAAGAAAAATTGTTACAGTTCACATAGTTATCTATGGGATAAGGACTACCTACAGAATGTGATTGGCCGAGTGAGCTTGCAAAGGGACGCGAAGAGGGACTCAAGCGCTGTGTGGTGTGAAGCACATAGTCTCTTAACCTTGTGGACTGATGTTTCTGTCGATGCCCACGCCCCAAATGAGTATCAAAGTGCTGTTGTTGCTCAACATTGCCACCCCCCTGACGTCAGGTATGTCTTCGCTTGCATTTTCTGTGGTGACGTCAGAAGGATGCATGGGTGCATTGGTATTCGGGTCTACGTGGGTTCCCTCTTCTACACGGACTCCTTCTTCTGCGAGTTCATTTTGCTGGTTAGTCTCTGTCTCGCCATTTGCAAGTCTAGGGGAAGAAGTGGATGGTACCAACACCTTATCTGTCCCACTTATTTCACAATCTTGTGCTTTGTTTGGCCGTGCATCCWCTTTGTGTGCATACGGGAATTCATGCTCAAAGAAAGTAACATCTCTGGAAGCAAAGAGCATGCCAGA